TACAGCAGTGGAGATAAGCCTGTATCATGTCACATATGCGTGCAAAAAGAGTGGAAAGCTGAATGCGCTCTGTCTGTCAGTGTGTCCGTCCGTCTGTATTTGTGTGCGTGCACACGTGAACTTTGTACATTGACATTGTGTTTGTGCCTCATCGATGCATCTCCACAACAAATACTCATTGGTACAGTTCTTACAGTAGTATTTCTCACAAACGCTACGTTAGATCTTCTTCCTTAGTCTGTCTGTCTGTCTGTTGTCTAACGCAGCCGAGGGAGGAGATTAAGGTGCACAGAAAGGCACGTAGAAACAGTGGGCGGGCCGAACTATCCTTAAAGGCGCAGTACAACTAAACGGCCCCCTGGTGGAAAGTGTTAAAAAAAAGGATCTTGTAAAAGGTATAATGAAAAATCTGATGGGTGTTTTGAACTGAAACTTTACATACACATTCTTGAGATGCAAAACACTTATATTAAATCTGAAAAAAGGGGTAACCTAGGTGCCCTTTAAAGAGTCGAGCCTCCCTATACGCAACCCATACCGCTGAACCACCAGGGGCCGCCCCTTGCTCTTAAATGTGAATCTGTTCTATGCTTTCGCTTTGTTTAGGCATGAAAACACTTTAAAATAAACATAAAAATGATGCGATCTGTCAAACGGTAATGGGCGGGAATCACTCAATTAGCTTATTCCAACGAGGTGTGCTATTTGCACTTAGCCTAAATAGACACTACAAAAATCTGCGGTTGTTGTTAGATCAGATACGTTTGCAGCCGGAAGTTAACAAGAATTATTTATATTATTAATTAAATTTCCCATTACTTGCATTTTATTAACAACTACCCCAACCCTAAACCCAACTGTCACAGTAATGTAAAAACAGCGGTTTTACCCAATATTATTAATGATATGCATTTAATTACCAGACATATTGCATTTCATTTACTCCCACCCCAATCCTAAACCCAACAGTTACAGAACTATAAAAATATAAATTGTTTTACAGCGTCGCAAAAAAGATGCTGTATTGATGTGCGAATCCGCTGCCATATCCAATCTAGGCTTTACCGAACTTTACAATGTGTTCAGTTTTAGTTTCCATGGAAGCACATCAAGCTTCAAAGCATTAAAAAAACCATGGTTTTGGTTTTAAAATCTGACAGTTCTATGGAAAACACATTCTAAATTCTGTACATTCTGAATCCCATATCTGGAATAGTATTCAAGGGGGCACAGAAATAAAAATCACTTCCTGGATCGTACTGTTCAAAAGGGTTACATTTGTTTGATGTTTATTTGTCCAACAATACAGCTGAAACAGGTGTTCTGTGTCTGCAAAAATGCTTCTTGATTTAAGAATTCAGGGAATCACTTTATTTTGATAGTCCCTTTAACACATTCTGTTGAATTTAAGTTACATTGTCCCTATACATGCCAACATTGGATTATAAATAGAATGTTAGGTTGGGGTTAGAGTAAATTGACATGTGCTTGCAAAGTTTCTTATAATCAGTTAAATGTCTGTTGAAGGAGCAGTATCGACAGATATTAAGCAGACAGTCTACTAATACTCAAATGAGAAGTAATTGGCAAGTAGCTGCAATGCAAATTTTAGTCAACCAAACGTGCAATATGGACAACCATCAAAATAAAGTGTTACCAAATTCTGATATTTGGACTAGAAACAAGACAAAATCTAAAAAAGAAAAAATTGTCAGCAGGGTAAAATTACACCATTTAACTGCAAAAATGCTTTTCTTACTAAGATTTTTTTGTCTTGTTTCTAGTCCAAATACCTAAAATAAATAAATAAATAAAATTCCTAAGTCAAATAGAATTTTCTAGACAAGCAAAACATGTAGTCTTCTTTTAGGAAATTAATTGAGTTTTTCCCCTTAAAACTAACAAAATGATCTGCCAGTGGGGTGAGCAAAATAATCTTGTGTCAAAAGGAAAAACATGATTTTTTTGCTTACCCCACTGGCAGATCATTTTCTTACTTCGTTTTTGTCAGAATATCTAAAAATTCTTAAAATCAAGAAGCATTTTCAATACAAGAAAAAAAATATATGGTTTTGTTTTCAGAAGTAACGTCAAAAGTTAAATGAGTTTAACTTTAAAACAAGCTAAATAATCTGACAATAAATAAAATAAACTTGTTTTTGGCTTGAAATAAGACTTATCCATTGGAAAATTATTTGGTTTATTTTATGGGGAAAAAAACAACAAAACTTCAATTTTGTCATATTTCTAAAAATGCGACACAGTGGCACAGTACTTAGTGTTGTTGTAACACAGCAAGAAGGTCGCTGGTTCGAGCCTTGGCTGGGTCAGTTGGTGTTTCTGTGTGGAGTTTGCATATTCCCCCTGCATTTGCGTGGGTTTCCTCCGAGTGCTCTGGTTTCCCCCACTGTCAAAAGACATCCGATACAGGTGAATTGGGTATGCTAAATTGTCCATAGTGTATGAGTGTGAATGAGTGTGTATGGGTGTGTTCCAGAGATGGGTTGCAGCTGGAAGGGCATCCGCTGCATAGAACATGTGCTGGATAAGTTGGTGGTTCATTCCACTGTGGCAACCCCAGATTAATAAAGGGACTAACTCAAAAAGAAAATGAATTTTTCTGAAAACAAAACTATATTTTTTAAAAGTCTAGAAAATGCTTGATTTAAGAAGGTTTCGATATTTGAACTGCAATCAAGACAAAAAACTATTAGTAAGAATTTAGCAATTTACAGTGCAATAATTCATAATATAAAACAAACCATTTTAACTACGCCTTAACAAATATAATCAGTGTATGCGGTGGAGAATAAGGTGTAGTCTTCTCATGGCCACGTCTCTCTCTGTGAGGAACAGGGTGTTAAAAGAGTGATTTATTTTAGTTCCAGCTCAATGAGTGAAGAGGACACCCTCCTCTGCTATAAATAACCCTCTGCCATACGACCCCCAACGTTTCTTCCTCTCATATTTAAGTCAAACGCACTGCGAACCACATGAACTCTTGGGTCAGTGTGTTTTTTCTCTAGAATATTCTTCAGCATTATTATTGTTGTTGTTTTGCCGAGTTCCTGCTCTGACTGAGATGGTCCTGCATGGGATTCTTAAGTGATGTTAGCATTGCTTTTTATAGTACAGACATCTGCTAGCCCATCTCTCCAAATAAAGCCAGGGTGTCTTGGGTTGCTTTGGTTTGACGGGTAAGATATGGGGTGAAATCACTCGAGCCTTTCCTCTCAGACAGAACAAATGAGGTCAAATGTTGGCATCTCAGACACACTACAACAGCAAACTACTGTAATAATTAAACTGAGCTTTCCTTTAATAATGAAGAAAATAAACCTTAACCTGTGGGTTTGTACACTGCTATTAAACGTGGTTGTTCTCTATTCTGTTCTTGTAAACACACACACAGCTCTCTTCCATAACTGAATTTAAACCAAAGTGTGCAAGCTCTTGAAAGACTGAAAGAATACATATCAATGGAGAAAAACTAAACAAAAAGTCCACAAAGCAAAACAAAACAAAAATTCTTTTAAAAGGGTGCTGCTGTGGACGGTGGTTTAAGTTCAATAGGCTTGTCCAATATAATGGATTCTTTATTTACCCTTATGTTAATTTGGACTATAACAGTAGTGATTTAAACGATGTTTTTAGCGGAAATATTTTTTTGTTGTGGTTACCAACTCACAAGAGTGCTCAATCAAAATCAGCTGTTATTTTGTATCAGTGTAAAACAACTCCAATATAACTTAACTTAAAAGTTGCAGTCAGCAGGGACAAAACTAACACACAGGTGGGGCAAAAACAACAACAATATTTGCTAGATTTACTGGCTTAATCTTGCTTATTTTAAATTGATCTGACTATGACCTTCTTAATGTTAACTGTAAACATGTTTTGTACTTTTTTTTTTTTTTTTGCAAAAAACATTAAACATGATCCTATTTTAAATTTCACTTTAAGCAAATATTTCAGAAACAATCCAACAGTGCAAATGTTACAATTTAATGCATATTGCAAAGGCAATATGCATTAGGAGCATCAACACACTGAAGACTCTAATGTGGAAGTGAAACATAAGGTTTAGCTATTATAAGTGGAACATTACTAACAGTCTTACTGTCGTCCCTACAGGAACTATTGCCATTTAAGCCTGACCTACTTTTAAACTAGAAAAACTCAGATTTTAAACTCACTGGATGTGTTATTGTACTTTAATAACCCGTAGGTTGATCATTAGTGTGTGACACATGAAAAGAGAAACACAACTTGTAATAAGGAAAAAACTGTTACAATAATTTTCTTTCTGGATCTAAAAACAGAAATTTGGAGCTACCTGCAGGACACGGTCCCTAAATCAGGTTAACTTGGGACAGCTCCATAAAGCGTTGCATGCAGAATGGGCTGTTATTGTCTGGAAAGCAAATGTTGTCAGGGCTTCGAGAAAATCACTTTGTTACTTTTGTACACATTACCTCCCCTACTGGTCAGGAAAACAATTCTTCATTCTGACAAACACTTAACCTTCTAGACCTAAACTACTTTTGTATTTAGGTACTACTATGCAGTCTCAGAAATAAAGGTATGCAAGCTGTAACTGAGGTGGTACCTTTTAAAAAAAGTGCAAATTTGTACCTAAAAAGGTCCATATTAATACCTCACAGGTACATATCAGTACCTAAAAAGTACAAAAGTGTTCTTCTCAAAATTTTCAGGTACTTATAAATACTTTTGAGGTACCAATATGGACCCTTCAAGTACAAATGTTTACCTTTTGAAAAGGTACCACCCCAGTGACAGCTTGCGTACTTTTATTTCTGAGAGTGTGTAACGGTGAAGGTACTATTATGTAACCTATAATGTTACCTTTTGAGGTAACACTTGTAACTATATCTGTGAGTGTGCATTTCATTTGAAATGATAAGAAATGAACTTAACTCCCAGCATTCACCAGTATTTGATATAATACAACTAAATAATGCCTTTTCCCCTTTTTGCAGAACGGCCCATGCCAAAAGTAAAGGAGACGCTGCAGAACAGGCTGCTGTAGCCGCTAATAATGAGTCCAGTATCGCTCGAGTGGTTGCCAGAGAGCTCTCTCCCTCTTTCCATCAACCAGGTAGCTACAGTATACGACTTCATTGTACATATTGAAAGGAAATAAGGCTGGTTAAAATCTTCCTGGTGAAGTGACAGTGCGCTTGACTAGTAGAGGTAGCATCTCAAAAGAAGACAATGTAGCAGGTGTGATCATTAATCTACACAAAGTCCGAGTTACAGCACTCATTTCAGAACAAACTACATGCTATTGAAATCTCGAGCCCGGAAAACCCTCATTTAAACTGCTCTGAGTGTCTGAAACATGATTAGATTGCTGGGACACAGGCCCTTCAGCAGCTCACCGTGTTCTTCAGTCTGTCCATCTGAATGGCACTGCTAAGCTCTTGACGGTTTTATTTTGGCACCGTCTGTCTCAACCATCTTAGATGAAACTGTAGAAGAGCACAACAAAACATGCGTAATTATAGTTCGCCTAATTAAATGCGTAATTATATTATATATCGCCTGTTTTAATAATAAACATGGGATGTTATTGTGAGCCTGTATTTGCTTTTTATGACCTGAACTTGTTAAGATGTTGTTCTTTTTTTTGCATTACAGTCTTTCGCTTTTTTGTGAAAATATGTGATAACTATTCAACGTCAGGCCGCGAGGCACTAAATTTAAATATACACTCAAGTATACCCTCAAATATGCATGCATTTCCAATTATCTCAAAATTATCAGCACCCGTAAAGAATTTTAATCAAATCTAAAATAGCCGAAAAACTGTTATGGTTATTCTGTCATCAATTTTTTTTTGTGATACAACTTTGAGCATGACAGGATAACAGCTGCCAGGAATGATAAATAAAAATAGCCTCAACTTAGGAGTTAATAAAAAGCAAGTTAAGATAAATTTACCACAGACTACACAAATCTTCAGAGTACATAAACCTACCTTCTGTATCAGTCAGCTCCAGAGCTAGAGGGGGCAGCAGAGCGCCTAATGGCACAAGATAAACAAAAGCAGAAATAATACTGTTAATATGTTTAAAATAGGATCATGTTGATGTAAAATGAAAAAAAAAACAAGAAAGAAATTGATACTATTCGATTCGGCCAATTGGTTTAATAACCCACTATTTTAAATAACATGCTACATACATGGCTGTCAATAGCTGCGTCCCAAATCACGTACTTGTGCACTATTCTACGCCATTTTGTAGAATAGTGTAAGTAGTGTGTTCACACTGAAAACTCTAAAAATAATAAGTGCACTTTAATTACCAGGATGATGCACTCATTCAGCCGGTAAAATTAAGTGTGGAATAATGGACACTTCACGCACTCAACAACCGCTGGTTTGCTCACTATCGGGCTATCGGGCGCACATGTTGGATAACTTTATTTATTTTGGATGGTAAAAACAAAATTCTCCTACAAGAGTGATTATAGCGCCACCCGATGGTGAATGCGGTTATACTCATGGCAGGTATTATTTGATAATTCGGTCGTTTAATTCACTGATTTGGCAACCGTCAAACGTCATTAGGCAAACGGTTTGAATTTCCGCTAAGCAAAAAAAACATTAGTGTGCCATTTGGGATGACACTAAATACATATACTATCCTGTTGAGTGTGCAAGTGCATAAGTACATAGTACATGAGTGAATAGTGTATCAATCCCGTTCACTGCCAGATTTGACTACTTATCTGAGCTCACAAAACCAGATGCAACCAGACAAGATTTGATGGGTGAACATTAGTGTGGGTGGCAGAGTTTTGTAGGACTGTCGCAAAATGGGTGTAATGAAATAAAGAAAAAAGGGACTTAATTTAGCATTTATATAACTCACAGAAGGATGCACAATTAAAAAGCCCTTTCACTCAGATGTTCCCTTGCACAAGTGTCGAATTGTTGCACACAGGTGACCGTTTGTATGTGGTGGAAGCTCGCTATGGGTGTAGCCTTTCTAAAAATGTCAGCCTGAATCTCTCTGATCACTCTCTGTGACCTGTTGACAGTTTATTGAATGAAGACAGTTAACAGCCTTGTATCTGAGTAAGTTACTAACCCAACACAAATCGTGGGTTCAATTAAAATGTACAATGGGCCATAGAAACATACTTGTTTAATTCAGTGGGCCGCAGGTTTGATTATAAACAGTCCACCCTATACACAACATTTTTCAGATTTTTACTAAATGCGATGTGAACCTTTCTGTTTTGAAATAAAATACTCAAATGATATTGAAGGAAAAATTTAAAAACTGTACAAATAATCTTTATACCGGTCATTCAAGAATGATTATGCATGCATTGTAAAATTATAATCAGCTACCAAGGCTTATTGATGTGTCCTCCACAGGTCCTGAGTATATTAAAAAGCGAGCCTTGCAGGAGGTTGCAGAGAGCAATGAGAACATGGAAACAGGCATTCACGAGCCCTTGTTGGCTGAGGACTCCCTGCCAACACCTCCGGAAAGCCCATTCATGCATGAGATGGAAGGTCTGAGACCAAGCTCCACTCCTGCACGCACCCCCTCACCCACCCTAGTCATTGTCCCTCAAGCACCAAGCAAGGATGATCCTCACCTCTTGAGCCCTGGGAGCTGGAATGGAGACAAGATCAGTAGGGGCAGTGCTAGTAAAAGCAGCAGTAGAGCAGGTAGTCGGCCAAATAGTAGACCCATCACTCCTGCTGCTGCTCCCACTCCAGATGCTGCTCCAGAAGAACACTCTGCCCCAAGTAGCAAGGTCCCATCTCGCACCCCTAGCCGCCAGAGTGCCAAAGTGGAGCAGGGTTCAGACATGGAAATCAAAGCTCTGCAGAAAACGGACATAGAGTCAAAAGTGGCAGAACCTGCCCCTGTTGCTAAACCAGTAAGAACCAACCTCATCCTTCCCAATGATGAAGAAGAACCACCACGTCCTGCACCCAAGCTTTCGCCCAAAGCAGCCACACCTGAGCCAAAGGCAGCAGAAGTCAAGCATAGAGCTGACACAAGGCAGCCCATAAATGAGCGCCCTGCTTCTATGACAGAAAGCAAGCCTGAGTATAGGACAGACGTCAGGGAGGAGAAGAAATTTATCAACAAAGTTGAGCCTAAACCTTCACCGAAACGAGAACCAAGCCCTGCCCCAAAAGTCACACCAAAGCCTGAACCCAAGACAGTGCCTAAACCAGAACCAAAACCTGTGGTCATGCCGGTTGCAAAACCTGTTGCCAAGGTGGAGGCCAAAACTGAAACAAGGCAGAGGTCTATTATGAAAGCCCCGAGTGAAATGACACAACCATCTATGGAGCTAGAAGAGGTAAGGCTAAAAAATATTCTTTGCTATTACAAATTGGTCTTTGGATGCATCTAAGTGAAGTTTATTTATAAACTAATTTCGAGAGGATCACATGCTTATGATTGCTTGAGGCCGGTCCTGCATTATCCAGTTTATGATTCACCAATCAGACGATTCCTAAACCACTACAAATACCCTAAGTTCCATATAAGAGCCTTCTTTGTTTTAAAGAATCCCCCTTCCACCCCTACTCCTCCTTCCCTAGATGGGTGACATGGTGGCCCAGTGGTTAGCACTATTGCCTCACAGCAATAACATCACTGGTTTTAGTCCTTACCAAGTCAGCCTACGTTTCTGTGCGGAGTTTACACGTTCTACCCGTGCTCACGTAGGTTTCCCCCGCGTTCCGCAATTTCCTCTCAGTGTCCAAAAACATGCAACTTAAGTTAATTGACTTATCCAAATCGACACCATAGACATGATCCTAGTAAGTAGTTATCTCTTAAGAGCACTCACTATCTGTTCAGTAGCTACTACAGCAGGGGAGTTCTCAAGATCTACCTGAGCTCAAACTCCCCTCTCGCCTTGCAAACAGGAGGGAACCCCAGGCTCAAGGATCTTATGAGCTCAGGGCTCTCTCCCAGCTCAGCACACCAAACAAGCTTTATGATCAATCATCAGCTAAGTGTGAACTCTTGAAACATCCTAAAGATTGAAGACACTGAAATATATAATTTTCTTTCTATGATAAACAAACATGGCATTGCATTAATCTTGTTTTACTCAGTCCTACTTTTCTAAATGCATTGATGTTTCTGTTCCTGTTCTTGAATTTGAATATTTTGAATGACTAGACCCTTATTTTGTTGCATTACTATTTGAATATCAATTCAGTGTACAATGGCTCACTTATCTTAGCTTTAAACATCCTTCCAGTAAGAAAGATCAATCGTTTCAAGCAGCTCATGGGCATGCTAGACACTACTCCAGAACACAGACAGATTGTGCTCTTTGAAATTGAGCCCCGGCTCTAGTGCCTTGATCACATTTTTTACAATCATGCATAACTTCACAAGGCAGAACCCTCAAAATGACAAATTCTCACCTTCAGAGAGCCACATGAGGTCCGTCAGAAATTCAGTATCATATTGCATCACAGCGTCCTCTTGTGGCACACTGAGCCTACTGATGGGCTGTTCCTAGTATGGAAAAAATATTTGCAATGGATAAAAGCTCTCTTGTACACAAAAGATTAAGGATTTCATGTCTATGGTTTTTTTCTGAGCTGTAGTGTTGCTCAAACCCCCACCAGTTGCACATTTTACACAGTTTTCTCAACAAACATGCCAGAATGAACTCATCACCCAATTAGACTGCAAGACTTAAAAAGGGTGACCAGGGAGACCATGGGGCGGACTGGGTCTAAAAATCAGCCCTGGCACTGTAGCCACACCAGCCCACATAACCACACAGACACAGCCCCACCCACGGACACTCACATTCAATACTTATATTGGTGTACAGATGGTAAAGTTATATAAGTACCATATTTAAGAGATATTTAAACATTTAATGTATGTGACAGGAACAAAAACAACCCATTTAAATATGCAATCATTTCATTCATTTTCTTTTTGGCTTAATCCCTTTATTAATCTGGGAACTGCCAGCTTATCCAGCATATGTTATACACAGCGGATGCCCTTAAAGCTGCAACCCATCACTGGGTAACCCAATTCCCAATTGGCCTACCCAATTCACCTATAGCATGTGTTTGGACTTGTGAAGGAAATCAGAAGGAAACCCACACGAACATGCAAACTCAACACAGAAACACCAACTGACCCAGCTGAGGCTCGAACCAGCGACCTACCCACTGCGCCACTGCACTGCCCCCTTTCGAGACTAGTTCAGTTAATTTTATGTATTTGGCAATATCTGACTTGACTGTCTTTCCCTTTTTATGGTCCATCTCTGACAATTAGCTTGTATTTTACTTACTGTTTGTTTGACATTCTTGCCAGATTTTGATTACGTCTGCCTAACCTCTGATTGGGTCGGCCCATCTCGAAACCAGCCGGTCGTTGCTGATTGGGCCAATGCTTAACATTTATTATTATTCTTACTATCATCATCATCATTATATTCACATCTTGCAAGAGATAAAAGCTGCCTACATGTAAAAACAATACATATGAAAAATAAAAATAGCTGACCGGCCCACATTTAAAAAATGGTCCGGCCTTTCTGGCATTTGCCAGAATTGCCAGATGGCCAGTCCGCCCCTGAGGGAGACATCTAAAATGTGCAGTGGTGAGGGTTTCCCTGAACAGTTTTCAGAAGCACTGCACTAAAGTACCTTCTCTGCACTTGATTGTAAGTTCCTACAGACCTTTATTAGTTACTTCAGGTGTGTTTGAGTAAAGATTGGACAAACTCTTTTGGAAAGTAAGAGTAGATTTGGACACCCCTGTGTTAAAGTAGTGCTTAACAAATATGCACTCGGCATGTCTTATTTATTTAACACACCTTGTTTAACTTTAATTAGCTTATTAGGGGAGACCGCTAGTCATTAGTCAGCTAAGAAAGACATCCAACATATGCAGTGGTGGGACCCCAGAATAGGTTTGAGAAACCCTGAACTACATTTAAATTTAGCAACCGCTTTTAAACAAAGTTTGGGGTAAGGACTCACCTCAGTCTTGTTATTGAAAGTGAAAGAGAGTGCTGGTCGTACACTCCTTCCACATACAATCCCTGCCAATGACTTTTGAATTACAAGTCCAACTCTCTAAACCAGGGCTTTCCAAACTCGGTCCCGGAAAGTTTCTCCAACTTGCTTCAACACACCTGCCATGACGTTTCTAGTATATCTAGTAAGAGCTTGATAAGCCGATTCATGTGTGTTTGATTAGGGCTGGAGCTAAACTCTCCTGGCCACCGGCCCCCCAGGACAGAGTTTAGACACCCCTGCTCTAAACATTAGGCTATGGCTGCCTTAAAGCATTGGTGTCCATTTCTGCTCTAGGACCAAGCCATTGTAGAGTTTAATTTCAACCTATTCAGCACAATTGCCTGCATGTTTCTAACATTTCTAAAGACCTTCATTAGTTAGTTCAGGTTTATGTAGGATCAGACCTAAACTCTGCAGTATAGTGGATTTACAGGGGTTGTTTTGGACACCCCTGATTTTAAAGTAGTGCTTCACTAATATTTCCTGGCAATGCCTTCTTCATCTAAAACACCTGATTCAACTCATCAGCTCATAGTCATGAGTCAGATAAGAAAGACATCCAACATATTCAGTGATGAGACCCCAGAATAGGTTTGAGAAGCCCTGAACTACATTTAAATTTAGCAGATGCTTTCAAACAAAGGTTGAAGGACTCACCTCAGTCTTGTTACTGAAAGTGAAAGAGAGTGCTGGTCATTCACTCCCTTCATGTACAATCCCTGCCAGTGACTTTTTAACTACAAGTTCAACTCTCTAAACCAGGTGTGTCCAAGTTCGATCCTGGAGAGTTTATCTCCAACTTGCTTCAACACACATGCCAAGAAGTTTTTTTAGTATATCTAGCAAGAGCTTGATTAGCTGGTTCAGGTGTGTTTGATTAGGCCTGGAGCTAAACTCCTCTGGAAACCGGTCTTCCAGGACCGAGTTTGGACATCCCTGCTCTAAACATAGGCTATGGCTGCCTTAAAGCAGTGGTGTCCGTTTCTGCTCTGGGACCAAGCCATTGTCCAGCAGAGTTTATTTTAACCTATTCAGCACAATTGCCCAAAGTAACTTTCCTAAAGACCTTAATTAGTTTATTTAGGATCAGATCTGAGCTCTGCAGGATAGTGGCTTTAAGAGGGCAGTTTTTGACACTCCTGCTTTAAGACAGTATTTCACAGATTTGCTCAGATTTGTTCCCACCACCACTGCACATTTTGTTTAACACTCTAAAGCTGCGGTCACACTAGAGTTTGTGTGTGTGAAATTCTGTCTTACATCGCTGTGAAAAGGGGCGGGATTAAACAAGATTATTAGACATTAAAAAAGTGAGCCATTGCTCCATGTTTTAAATTTCTGCCCAGAGAGGTCATGTTTTGATCCTCGATTGGTCTCGCGCAGTCAAGTGATGTGATTTCGCAGGTCAGAGTTCACCAAGCTTAAACTTTGCACCGCAGCAACCTGCGAAACAACTCATGACCCTGCGTTTCCGGTCTGACGCATTCGCATGCGTATGAATGGAAGTCTATGGGAGGAAAAGCCCAGTGTGACCACAGGTTAACACTCAATTCAACTTCTAAGCCATTATTCACCACAAAACTAAATTATTTGTGTCAAATAAGGGCAACATTCATTGTTTGTGCAGATGTGGGAGACCTTCTTAGAAGAAGAAGCCATCTTATTTGTTTCAACACAACTGCTTGGGATTTCCTATAGCTATTTCATTTAAAGTTAAATTCTGATTTAAAGGTAGCTTTTTAGCAATTCCACAAAAAATATTACCTGAAATGCCATCAGTTGATTATTTTACTTTGCACCAAGACTTGGAATCTATGGCCCTCAAGATTTACTGTGCTGCAAAGTTTACTTCCAACCCTGATTAAACTTACATACTTGCTTTCTAGTAATCATAAAGGCCCTGCTTAGCTCATATATTTGACTTGTGTTGTAACTAAAGCCTGCAGGAAAGTGGATGTTGTTGCAGATCCCTAGTTTACACAATAGACACTTAAATTTTTTACTTTTTTGTTCTTCCTAGGGGCCAAACACGATTATGATCTGCATGGTTATATTCCTGAACATCGGTTTGGCGATTCTTTTCGTTCACATCTTGTCTTGAGGTGACAAAATCTAAGGTAAGCTCCTATCTGATGTATTCTTGAGTGCAATTTATATTAAGTGCACCTGCTATTTTGTCTTTCTAAAAACACTGCAGGTATTATTACACATGCTTTCTTTCTAGCCAAAACCATCCAGGTGAAAGAAACTACCATGGGGAGCTGTGAGGAAGCACTGCGCTCCATTAACGGCTCTGTTGTTGCGTTATCCAGTTTCAGAACAGCCCTCCTGAGCTACTCTGAAGATGGTTGCCATCTGTAATTGGACCGAGTGCTCCCAAATGATCAGTGTGCCTCAGTGCCTGAACATTACAGAATGAAGCATTTCTGCACATTTGCTTTGTTTCTAAAAGGTACTGCTGCATTTAACAGGTCTGTTAAAGTCTATTGCAGCTGGAGCTGAATCGTCTATAATAAGGGCTAATTCACGTTGTGCACGTCACGTTCTATAAAGCAAAACATGTCACTTGGCATGTAACATTCATCTCTGGAGAATAAATAAGTAGTTGTGATGGTAAAAAAAATGGGTCAATCCTGTTTTTTGTCTTTCTTTTCAATGGCTAGAACAAACTTAAAATCCACCAGTGCACTTATACTTTCACAAGCTTCCAAAGTTCAGACGCTGTATGCAATTACACATATTATGTCTTAAAATCTCCCCTGCATGACTGAATAAAAATATACATTGACAAATGAAATGTATTTCACATGATTATTGTTTAAGTCTTCTACAATATACACTGTTAAACCCAAACAGTTAAGGTAACTCAAACCATTTGAGAAAACTGAATGCAACAAACCATTTAAGTTCAAAGCTTAATCCTAATGAGAACTGTGAACCTAACCCATTTGAGTAAACGGGGCAATCTGAGTACAGTAAAACCCAACAAATGAAGAGAACTTAAACCATCTGAGTACTGTAAAACCCAATAAGTTAAGCCAATAAGCAACTCAAATCGTTTAAGGAAACTCAAACCATTTCAGTTAAAAACTAATCTGAGTACTATGAACTTACTCCATTTAAGTTGAAGTAATGAGGTATTTAATCAAATGATTACCTTCAATGCTGAGTTCAAAACTCTTTTCAAATGAGTAAAATTAACTTTCAGTAAATTTTGAGTTAATTCTCTCATGTCATTTGATAAAGTTAACTGTTTGGTTTTACAGTGTAGTGGAATACTTGCAAAAATGAAAAATGACAAGGAAAGGAATGAGGTCTATTAATCATCAAACTAAAGCATCCCCAGAGAGAAGGTCTCCAAAAGTTGGTGTGAGAGTTTTAAAACGAGATTTTGTGGCTTACTAATTGTTGTACTGTGAATTTGTGATTATCCTTCAGCATTTTTCTGCCTGTATTAGTCTAAAAAATATGCAAGTGCTTTAAAATGTCCAAACCAGGTTGTGCAGCAAACAGGTTGTGAAAATGTACGTCTCAGATTTTTATGCATGTGCACAGTCATGTGTTTTTGTACATTTCTAAATAATGGATTTTAACAGAAAAGATGCACATTTCATGATTTACATCTAACATAATATCCGAAATTCTCAGTTTAACCATCAGTGTAGAAAACATAACCTCAAATTTACAAAAGGTCTTATAGGAAATACAGTTAACTGTCCAAATGTTATTTATTGACAAAATAAAGGAACATTATGAATAATAAGACTAAGTTCTGAATTACAAAATACTCACCCAAAATATATACACTCTAAGAAATGCTGGATTATTTAAACCCAAATTGGGTAAAATATGGACTGACCCAAACATTAGGTTAAATTCGGTCCTAATAATTTCAAGAGTTCACACTTAGCTAATGATGGATTATAAAGCTTGTTAGGCATGCTGTCCCGGGAGAGAACCCTGAGCTTATACTGTACGTTTCTTGAGCCCGGGGCTCCCTCCCGTTTGCAAGGCAGGTAGATCTCAAGAACTCCCTTAATGTAGTAGCTCATAAACAGATAGTGAGTGCTGTTAAGAGATAACTACTTACTAGAAACATGTCTATGGTGTCGATTTGGATTAGTCAATAAACTTAAGTTGCATGTTTTTGGACGGTGGGAGGAAATAGGGGAACGTCGTGGGGGAAACCAACGTGAGCATGAGGAGAAGGTGTAAACTCCACACAGAAAAGTAGTCTGGCTTGGTAAGGACTAGAACCAGTGATGTTCTTGCTGCAAGGCAACAGTGCTAACCACTGGGCTACCGTGCCACCAATCTAGGAAAGGAGGAGGAGTAGGGATGGACGGGGGGATTCTTCAAAACCAAGATGGCTGTTATATGGAACTTAGGGTATTTATAGTGGCTTAAATTGGATAATGCAGGACCCGCCTCAAGCAATCATAAGCACTTGATCCTCTTGAAATTAGTTTATAAATAAACTTCACCTAATTAAATAAATTAGCAGTTGGTTTAGTCCGTGTTACACCCAGAATTGGGTTGAAATACCCCAGCATTTTTAGAGTGTGGGCCTGTTTCAGTAAGGAGGTTCAAACAACTCTGAGTTTAAACTTGAACTCTGAGTTGATTTACAGAGAGAATAGTTTTCAGTTTCAGAATAGCTGATCTGAGTTGGGTCAATCAACTCTGAGTAGACTAACTCAGAGTTAAGCGTGCGCACCGTGTCTATAAAAAGGCATTATCAATAGAGCGCAGACATTACGAGTGATCATGGCAACATCTTAAAAAAAGAGATCAGCATTTCTTTCACCGGCTGAATTTGATCTGCTCATGCAAAGTTATAGCAAATATGAGCGTATATATTTAAAAAGAAGCAACCATCAGCGAAACAGAGACAGTTAGCGTGGGAAAACAGCTGCTCAAGTTAATGCGTAATTTTTAATTTTAAGTATTTAAACATTTTAAGTATAATAAAATAAGTATTTTTGTTAAGTGCACTTCGTAGTTTATGTGCATCTTATCAAATAAAAGTTTAACCTACTTAGTTATGCACATGTTTTATTATGCGTATTTTCAAAAGTTATGTGAATCATGGCATTTCCATCAATCTTTTTTAAGCACATCTCCAAAATGAGCTCTAAAATAGGTGTGTGGAAATGTAAGGCTAATGCGAGAAATACCGCTTCATCTTTAAAAAAGGGGAGGAGACCGACAGAAACTCTGAGTTTAGAGAATAAAACCTGCTCCGGACCAGGTTAGATTCACAGAGTAAGTTACCACGGTAACTGACTCTGAGTTAAAGTTAACTCTCTTTTAGAACTAGGCTTGACTTACCCTGCTTTCTCGAGTTTAACAAACCTGCCATTTTGAAACGGAAAACCCAGAGTTTCTCTCATTTCAGGGTTAAACTACTCTGAGTTTTAACTTAACCTGCTTTCTGAAACAGGCCCTGTATAACAATCATTGTTTGTTTGTGTAATTGTATTACTATTTTTGCCATTTGCAACAAATCTTGAAGGGTGTTTCTGCTGAGAATAAAATCTGTATTCTCAGACAAAACTGTACATGACTGTTTTACATTTATCTAATAATTCAGCATGGTTATGATGCATTGGATTACTTGCGGTTTGAAAGTTCCTGCAACTTTCCCTCTTCCCCACCCGACCTGTTCATGTTCTTGTGTTTCAGCACTCACAATCATGAATGGAATTGTTGCAATAAAGGAAAATGCACCACACTTTTCGAATGAATGTTTCTGCATTACTTTTACAGTGTTACCATTAATAGATCTCCAATTTGCCTTCTAACCACCCAAAATGCACATCGATGCTAGTTTAGGGAGAGGCAGACAAGCAGGAACAAAGAATATATATTTAAACTCCACCTGTCTACCAGCTTGACATATTCTCTCTCCCCTGACAGGGTCTGAATGCCAAGCCCAATTTTAGATTAGGGTGGTGGACGGGCCTCTTCTAATGCCATACTCTGTAACATGGGAAAGTTTACTTCCCTCAGATAAAGTGTTAACTCATCAACACTTGCACATTAGCATGGGCAATAGAAAGGCTGCGAGTAAGACTGGTCTATGCACAGTGATTTATTGTGCTGCACTGCTCGACCTCAGCCAGAGTGAACACCATCCAGACTCAACCAGCCGTTTGTACAGCAATACTGCCCCCTGTGTTCAAGATACAGAGACTGCAAATGCTTAAAATTACACCACAGTGGATGAGTTTGAAACAATTCTAAACAATCCAGGGTAAATGACTTCTATGACATTTGTTGAGGAAATGTTAGGCAAGTTAATGCATTTAAATTGTGTTGTTGTTGTTTTGTACCTGTAGAATATGCCAGTGTTTCCCCATCCTGTTCCTAAAGGCACACCAACAGTACATATTTTATACTCCTCTCTTATCTGACCTATTCATTTCAGGGTTGGAGTCTCTTCTAATGTTCTGATGAGTTGATTTAGGTGTGTATAATAAGGGAGAGGTTGAAAATGTGTACTGTTGGTGTGCCTTCAGGAACAGGGTTGGGAAATGCTGGAATATGCACCAACTGGACTAGTTCACTATAAAATTGCTACACTATTAAATGCATGTCCACTACTAAATAGTAATGGTCACTAAGAACTACACTGAGAACTATTAATAATAAAAATAATAATAATTTGAAGAGATCACTGTTTGACAATGTAAAAAGATTCAACTTGCTTAGAACTGACCTAAGGTAAATTTAAAGGGATAATCCACACAAAAATAAACTCTCATCATTTACTCATCCTTCACATGCTTCAAAACATAAGTTTCTTGCTTCTTTTTAGAAGAATCTTGTAAAGCAGCAACCATTGACTTCCATTTCCATTTTTAGTTCCTACTATGGATGTCAGTGGCTGCTGGTTTCCAACATTCTCCAGAGCAGATTGTTTTAGGTTTAACAGAAGAAATAAATAAATGAACATTCAAAACCACTTTTAATTGTTAAAAGTTTTTTAATGCCATGCCAGATTCTAAGAATATGTATACTGGACACAGATTATATTAAGGTTTTTTTAATTTATTTGGATTGTGAAAAATCAATTCAAATGAATAAACTGAATAAAATTAATTCCTCACTGAACTAAAACCAACACAATCCAACAGAACATGCTTCATAGTCAAAGCGATTTACAGACAGAACATGTGAGAAAATCTCCAAAACATAAAAACTTGTCATCCTGAGGTGACCGATTCTCATTTTATAGTGAACTTTCCCTTTAACACCACAGGCAACACAACAAACCTAAAGCAGGTTTCTGCAGGCTTTATGAAGGTAAATTTAGGATTTAAGCATGTAGACAAAATGCTTTATGAAGGAAATACTATATTTTCTCCAAATGTAAATTCATAGAAAGCACATAGTGAGTAATTGTGAAATGTTATTACAAAAAATCCTGTATTAGTTGTATATTAACATTTCAAAATGTAAAAATGAGCTTTGCAGGTTGTACCAAACTTCGTTATTTTACCCACTTTTCCTAATTGAATATTGAAAACGGTTTCCAAACATTAGAAAATAGAAATTTACTGTACTTTTAATTATACTGCAGAATAAAGTGTTTTTTTATTAGTATACTATTCAGTGCAT